TGCCAGTGAGCCACATGCAGAGGAGCAGCAGGTAGGAATGGATCTGTGGCTTCATGGGAGAAACAACAGCTACATGTTGTAAAGCAGTCAGTCTGGACCAGGGGTCTCCAGGCCTCGAGGGTCAATGTCTCGGAGTCAAATGATGATTCTGAGACATTGGAGAACTTGACTATATACTGAGGAGGCATTTCAGTATATTGATTCAGGTGTTGGACCAGGGACACATCTCAAAGATGAAGACACTAACCCTTGAAGCCTGGGTTTGAGGTGCTCTGGTCTTAAACCATCTAAATGTCTGAAGGTGACTGCAGCTCACCAGGCCACATCAAGCAGCAGCCTTCCATGTTGGCAAAAGGCAACTCAATGAATGGATGCCTTTATATGATCACATCACTTTGTAGTTGATACATTTGCACACCCCACTGCTTGACCCCATGCAAGCCACAATGTGACCCCTTCAGTATTCCAGACCCAACTTGTGCAGTCTAGCACTGAGGACGTCCTCCAGGGCTGCCAAACTTCGGACAATTAGATGGAACACTGTTGCCCCCTGGTGGGGGTCTGGGGACAGGCCATTCTAGCAAATCAAATCATTTATGCATCACTGGTCTGCATGTGGGTTTGCACTGGTGCAGAAATGAAAAAATAAAAGAAAAAGGTGCGTTTGTTACTGTGGTTCTGTTGAAGAAACACAGTAGAAATAAAGCTAAGAAAGTGTTTTGTGTAAAATAGCAATATAACACTGATGTAAACCCAAATAGTCATCTGCTGATTTCATTTTTGGCTACATGCTGGTGGCCTCTCAGGATTCAGATTATTCTCTGGACTGATTGCACTTTTCTGGCCAATCACCGATCTTTTAAAAAGCCTAACCTGCCAATTCTTATTTCAGCCGATCCCAATGTTTGTCTGAATTGCTGCCAAATACAGCAAGAAAGATGCTGATTTAACTGTAAATGTGCAGACAGGGCAGGTCTTTCAGTCAAACCTTTCTCACAGGAGAACTGATGACAGTGGTTGATTTTTAGACCTTTGTTGAGGTAGATAAGATCAGTGGATAAAATCAGCATCACATGTAAAAATTGGCCAATCACTGATCTCCCAAAATTAAGGAAATCGGCACTGATAAATCAGTACACCCCTAATTTCAACGCAAAGTGAGACAAATGGAAAAAGAGAAAGACTTTGCTGTGATATTGAGCAACTAAACTGTGGACTGTTGGCACCAAGATGCTAAGCTCGGAGGCCTCGCTTGTATCAATGGTTCTGGGGGTTTGGAGACTGCCTGGTGCTGATTTGTTGCTGGGTAATAACATTAGCTAAAGCCTTGCTGATTCCAAGGACTGTTTGCAGAGCCAGGACTGATTTTATTTTATTGATTTTTTTTATTGATATTTCCAACAAATTTAAATCCTTGAATTTTGCTTTTGTTTTTAATACATCACAAATGTTGCATTGTCTTTAATTGCATAGCAAACAGGACCACACCTACCCGGTGCCAAATCTGGTCAACCCAATTTTAAAATTTTACAATTTTATTAAATCAATTGACTCCAGTTGTTTTTTCCAACCGAATCCAAAACAATTTGTATGCTGCACTTCTTCCATTTTGTTTTAGGGTTTTTTAAAGATGAATACTTGATGATTTTGGCCCATGTGACAAAGATTTGTCACATGGGGCAAAATCATTGCACACTGGTGTGACAAACACCAGTGTGTTGTTATCTAAACAGTTCACAGTGATGGGATGGAAATCCAGATACAAAAAAGCATCAAATAAAACGTCCTTACGGTATTTGATAATACCTGTTTATGACTTCATGTGACATTTCTTGTGCAAGACTTTGTTGAACCAACTTTTCATTTTTGTAAAAATCATAAGAATTTTGATTTATTGTCATAAATTCCATTTAATGTTTAAAGCCCCCAAACGTTTTACTACTTTCTCCACTGTTTTTTTCAGTGAAGATAAACATAGAAAAATTAAAATGATTAGCTCCAGTTACTGTGTGCCGTCTAGTGATACAAATCATGCTTCTTTATTAACCTTTTTACATTTTCCAGACAGTTGAGTTTTTTCATTAGGGGGAGGATAACGAGTTTTTTTTTATCTTGTGAGTTTATTTTTATTAATTTATGCAGCCCGTTGAGCTGCTTTTAGTATGAAGGGTGCTTTATTGATTGATTGATTGATTCTATGACTAGTGTCCTATGACAAATGTTTTTCAATAATATTTTGCTTGTGGGGCTGTGACTGCTGATACAGTTACCTAAGAAAGAAATAACAAATAGGTTTTATCATTCTTACAATAGGACAATTAAATATTGTGATAAAACTTGAAATCCATAAGGCCCAGCCTACAGGGTTGGAATCCAAAGGTGGTTCAATAAAGTTAACATCATCCAGGTTTATGCAACATGCTTGCTGCAGCCCTTTAAGGTCCTCTTGTCATAAAGCCTGGTATTTTCAAAGGGCTTTGTGGTAACTTGGCAGGTTAAGCTTCCAGTGAGGCAGTTAGCAGGAATCCTCCAATTACTGAACATTATTTCTGCTGCAGGCTGCAGTTAAAACTAAAATCAGCACATGAGCTCAGATCCTGTTCTTCCAGGAACAGGATCTGAGCTGGTGAAATGATCTGGACGCGTTTGCCATTCAACACTCGGATCTACTCCTGCATTAAATCTTTAGGATCTTGTCTACAACAAAAAACATGTCTGGAGTGTCAGCAGCAGACAGATCTGCAGAGGACCTGGGACAGCTTTGGCTCAAACCCAAACCTTACATGGGTTCTGTTCATGAATAAAACATCTTCATTAAAAAAAGATCATTAAAAAAGATCCCTGAGATTTTCAGCACTAATCTTTGGTGTTTCTTCCAGCTCCTGAAAGAACGAACTGAGCAGCAGGTAAAGCGCCCCGCTGCACCGACAGAGAGCCTCTGGCTGTAGGCGATGTGTCATCCCTACCGCTCACAGTCAGAGCTAGCTAGCATTGCTTTTTCCTGCCACTTACAGGTTGCTTTGAGTCTTCTAAGAACCAACCCTTATCCGACTCAGAGCTCAGAGTCCAATCAGTGATAACTAACATCACAGCTGACAGGTTCAGCTGCCTCCAGCATTGCAGCTGTAAAACCTGCTGGTGTAGCTCCAAAGAATTGCTGGTGAAGGAAAACAGAAGAGAGTGATGCTGACAAGGAAAGTCCGTTTTAGTCGCAGAGACCGGAAGCAGGAGAGAATTGTTCTCAGTTTAAAGCAGCTGGCCTCCTATTGGCTGCTGGATAGGAATGATTGTAAAAGCCCCAGGAAGTGTCCTCATCAGTGTCCTGCAGAGAGCTGGAGGACTCAGTGTTTCATTCTGTAGTAAACAAATGTTGCTACTACAACAATTGAAGCAACTATGGCTGCGTTCCTCCATGGAAAGCTATGGATGACACCAACCTGGAAGCATCAGAAGGAAGCAGGTTAAAGGCTCTGGCCTATTAAAGCAAAGCTGATGATGTCAGAGGCAGCAGCCACTCACCCATCCCCCCTGCTGCACCAGCCAGGGGTACAGCAACTCCCTGATGACCTGCAGGACCCAGCTGATCACCATCCTGATGTTCTCCAGATGGTTGGTGGTGAGGGCCTGGAAAAGAAACAGCTGAATGGGTCAGAGCAGGCTTTGTGTTTCTGTCTGACCTATACAACAAATACAGTGTTGGGAGTTTTGTTATGAATGAGACTTTGCTTTAAATTCCTGTAATATTTATAACTGGTTTTCCCACCCTGAGAGCGTCTTGCTGGAGGGTTCACATCTCAGGAGCGGCTGACAAAACAGCAACTAAACAAAAGCTAAATAACAATGGGAACACTCTTATCCTTTTTGTGCAACATGGGGATGACAAAATACAGACAAATATTCTTTCTGAATGTTAATTGACATCTCTGCTGCTAACCGCTGCCTCCTTGTGGAGAATATGAACTAAACTAGAAACATTCTGTATTCATGTGTCCCAATGTGAACATTTAACCAAGATTGAGATCTGTTATTAATGTTGCTGTTTTGGCTGTTAACTGACATTGTATATATTTATTTCACTATCCTTTGACACCTTGAAAAAAAAAAACAACCACACCACTGACTTCACCACTGCTGCAATGCTTTAGCTAAACTCTCACAATCCTTTGCTGCATCACTGTCACATGGCCATCCTCTTCTTCTCACCTCCAGAACCCACAGCAACCAGAAAAAAATAAATATCAGTTGTTAATATCAGTCCAGTTTTATCTATCGAACTGACTGACATGTTAAAAACGACTGACGTTAGTCGATATCTGTTAGTGCAGCAATATCCTGCATCCTAGTAATTTTTGGAATAGCTTCACTTATATATCCTAAATATATTATCTAACAAATCTCCCCTATCATGGGCCTTTAATCAGACTTTTCCCTGAATTCTGAGAAAATCTCAGTCAGACTGTGTTAGCTATTAATCAGACACAGAAATTAATGGACTAGATCAGTTACCCTGTATATGAGTCTGTAAGCCAGATGAAAGAGCGCCACCACCCGGCCCCAGTTAATGCCATCAATAAAGATGCTCCTGGCCACCATCATGAAGACTTCCTTCGCACAGTTTCCCTGAACCTGGTTGATCAGTCTAGAAGGAGGAAAAATTCAGAGAAAAACAGGATTATTAGGTATGGCAAACAGCACAGAACAATCTGCACACTGAAATACACACACACACACACACACGTTTGCGTGGCTATCTTTGTGGGGACTTTCCATTGACTTCCATTCATTTCTACAGCCTAAACCTTACCTTTACCCTTTTCCTAACCCTTACCATCACATACCTAACCCATACTCTAACGAAAACTCAATTCACACCTTAGTCCTAACTCTAACCCCTGACCCAAAAACAGGGTTTCCCCTTGTGGGGACCAGGCTTCGGTCCCCACAAGGAGCAATTGTAGTATGTGTCAGGAAAATCGTCCCCACAAGGTATTACAAACAAACGCGCGTGCGTGCGCACACGCACACACACAAAATCACCCGTCAATGCAGGGCAAGATTGCAGGAAAAATCTGAACATAGTACAATAACCAGGGAATCAACCTTGCATCATTTTATTTAATCTAAAAACGTAAGTGTACATTTTCCACCTTTTTTTATATGCCTTAAGGGAATTAGAAACGCTTTGGAAAAAAATTCTGACTTAAAGAATAATAATTCAGGCATGAAATGTGGATGTAGGCACAGCTGCCCTGGGGCAGAAGCACAGAAGGAACACAGACATACAATCAGCGCCACCAGCAGGCATGGCGTGTGAAGTGTCTTGCCCTCGGACACAATGCCGGAGGCGGGTAGAGTGGTGGTTCGAAAAGGCAACTTTCCTAGTTGCCACTGCCACTGGCAGCATCAATTCTCATTGAAATGCCTCCAGATACTTTAAGAAACAAAAAGTAGATTCAACACAGTTCTACAGACAGGTTCAAAGTCAGCTATGTTCATTTAGATTTCATAAGAGTTAAATTTTTTTTGAGGCATGAGCAAAAAGACAACATACACTCATATTCAGTAAATTGTCCTAAGTGTTCAGATGAGATATTTGTTCTCTCTTTAGACATCTTCATTTAAAAACCATCTGATATTTAAATAGGTTTGAGTTTTGTAACACTGAAGTGTGATAAACATGCAAAAAATATAAAATAAGAAAGGGAGCAAACGCTTTTTCACAGCACTGTACGCATTAGATTAAAATGTCTTTATGATTAGACTGATTGACTAAATATTTCTTTAGATAAATTAGATCTGCTTCATAAAGTGCCTTGAGACATTAGTTGTTGTCAATCAGTGCTATACAGATGCAATAAATTGGTTCTGTACTCGGTGCAGTGTAATGCTTACCGCTGGAACTCTACATTTCTGTTCAGTTCGTCTGCTATTTTCAGCAGCTGATCCACCACTTCTTTAACTTCTGGGTCATCTTGTTCATGTGGCCTTCCTCCCAGATCCACAGAGTCGACATGGCGACCAGGATCCTCCGTGCTTATACGCTCTATCACGTACCTGGAACACATACCACTCATCAGCAAACAGGGTCAACACACAGGCTCAGGCAATTTATGCAAATAAACTGTTTATCAAATTCAAGTTGGGACTTGACTGCTTAAAACATGAATATATTGTCGAGTTAGTGTGAATGAAGTGGATGTGGATAAAGCTGAAGAGCAAATAAAATGTAGGGTTCAATTTACATTTTAAACTAAACTCTACTCAGAGGCATCTTCGACAAACAGCCAGAGCAGGAAGAAACAAGTCAGACCAGTGAGTATTTATAGACACCATGTTCCTGAGAGAGCCGTCATAACGTCTGCTTCTACAGCAGAAACCTCCTAAGGAACCAGGTGAGTCTTCCTCCCTCTGCCGGAACCAGAACCACATCAGGCAGAAACACTAACAAATAGGAGGAAAAACATCAGGCTATCCAGATGAAGCTTTAGATATTTATGAACTGAGGAGATAATTTGGTAACTGAGTTTGGTTCTGGTTCTGTTCTGTACATTTGTTAGCAGCCTTTTGTGACTTGGCTTCTAGAGCCAACAGTGGAAACACACCCAGAAAAAGCTTAGGAGATTAAATTTTCCTGGGAATAAAAACAAACATTCAGGAAGCCATTGTTGAAGCATGCATAGAATGAGACTCACCCTCTGAGCACCACCACGCCCTGCTCCAAGATGGGGTCGTCAAAGACATCTGAAAGAATCATGCCAATAATCATTAAAATGGAAAGAATTTAATAATTCCAGCCCTCATCACATTATGGTGCAGCACCATTACATCTAGATGCTCTGGGTTTAAAGCCAAAAAAGGTGGCACAAATTATATTTGTCTGCTGAATCTTCCACAAATTAATTGTGCAGGCAAAATATGTCTGAGTGGGATAGATTAGTGAAGCCACACTGACAATATTTTTGCATTAAAAACAAAATTAAAAACAAAGTGATTAAACTCCTATACCCCAAAGTGACAAATTCATTTTTTCCAACAGCAATTTAGAACTCCTCAGACCTTTTGGCTTTCACGTCAATTTCTACGTAGTTTCCCACAAATAACTTCATGGATCTGAAGTGTGACTCGACTTAAATATTTTGCCTATCTTCTTTGACTTTATTGCCTTTTTGGGTTGTAGATTAGAAAGAGGACACAAACTATCTGCACGTTGGACGGCCTGTTAGGAAAAAAACATTGCTCAGAGCTGCTTAATATTGCACTTGGGGCAGATGTGGCAGAAATCTAGAATTCATATTTCATTTTTTGGCAGATTTGATCTAGACCCGGACCAGATCAGAGCCAAAGTGTTTTTTTCCCAGGTATCAGGCAGGCTCATGATCCCAGCTAAACCCTCAGGTGACTGCGGATCTGGAGCCAGATCTGAATGCTACAGGTTTTGTCTCTGCCTCTGTCTGTACATAGACACACAGAGAGAGAGACGTCAGTCACAGCTTGTCAGTTTTGGGTGCAGCTTCTGTACATGTCTGCTGGGACCAGCTGGCAGGGAGGGCCAATCGGCAATGACCCCAGGTTCCATCCTGTTCTGGTACCAGTGGTCATGGACCAGTGGTCATGGTCAACAACCAAAGCTAGGGTCTTTCCTGTGGCTGCTGCATTTCTTCTTTTGTTGAGTGTCGTCTCTTCTACCAGAACCAGGGACTTAAAATGTTCAACAACCGGATAAAGAAGACTGGTTCAGTTCTGAAGAAGACTGTGGAACCTCAGAAATGATGGTGCAAAGAACAATTAATTCTTCATAAAAATCAAGAACATTATGGACAGATAGTATCTGTTCCATTTGTATGACATGTATGGCTTGTAACATTTGATAATTTTTTTGGCACTAAAGCCTGTTATTATATATAACCAAATCTCATTATTTCTCAAGGTAATTTACACTGAGGGGTTCTGGTCTTTTCCTGAAACTGGTTAACGGACCTGATGGAGCACAGAGGCAAAAATGAATGAACTCCAACACCCTTCCTGCCCACAGCCATCAGTATCTACAACTCTTTGAAAGAACTTATGAGTTTGGGCTCAATAAAATAGTAGAACATATTGTTCATAATATTCCGACCCCCATATTTTTCCTATAATCTGCCCTTTTCCTCCACAAGTATCATAAGGGCGTTCAAGTCGATAATTTGCCTGTTAGTATCTATTCTTAAGCATGTTGGGTTAAAGCTCCAGGACTGCTACCAGTGTGAATACTTTCTGTAACAACCCCGTAAAAAGCGACTCACTGAAGGCCTGAAACACTCCAGATAAGGAAGTTAAGGACAAGTTGGTTAACTAAAGCCCGAAACAAAACATACAGAGAAAAAAAAGACAGCTGAAGATTTTTAGAGGACATTCAGTCTGTGTGTTTAGTTCCGTATGAGGTTAAGTAACCTCAGGGATGAATCAGACATGGCTCCACATACCTCCTCCTCCCTCAGCGCCTTGCATTTCCAGCTCGTCTTCTAGTTCCGAGTCCCCTCGGTCGTCCGCCATGACTCCAAACTCTTCTTTCGGCTCTAACTGGGTTTTAGGCGCTTAGTATACAGCTTAGGACCGAATCTGGGGGGAATAATCCACTTTAGTCTGTGTAAACCCACTATGTTGAATGTTTTACTTTCCCCCTTTCCACGGAAGTAATGCGGAAGCACCGGGTCAGCGGAACCACGCCTCCCTTATCCACGAACCAGTTCAGTTCGGGTGTGAGCCCGCCAGGCAAAAACCCGCTGGTCAGAGCAAACCGGTTTTAGTGTTATAATTAAACACAGAGTTTATGAGAGTTAAAGTTATGTCTCGACTGAACAATTAATGTAGCTCGTGAGTTTCTGTTGTAAACCATTTGCAGCATTTTGTCTCAATGCCTAGGTTTCTGTAAGTAATTAGCAGAAACGACGGAAGCCCATATTTGCCACTCCGAAAAAAAACATGTATCTCTTAATAATAAGATATTATCTCATAATCATGACCTAGTTATCGCACAATTATGAGATATTTAATTATTATGACATAATATTTCTTGAGAGACCTTCAATTGGCTCCCTGGCATTCGAAAATGGATGAGAGTTTGACTTGATAATAAAGAAATGGAAGTTAAGATTATTGAGCTATAGTTGAGAAGTGGTTTGACAAGGGTGACCATAATTTGATTTCTAATAAACTTCTTGGCCTATGTCCTGAAAGACGTCAGTTAAATAATCAATATCAGTACTGACAAATGTTCCTAATTTCTTAACATATTGGTATGAGGTAAACCATACCATCGTGTCTTAAAGACTTTCACCCTGTTGCATTAACATCTATCATCAAGTACTTTGAGAGGGTGATTAAGGACCACAACATCGCTATACTGCCTTCGTCATTTGACCCATTCCAGTTTGCATACAAACCTAACCGCTCGACTGAAGATGCCAGAGAAAAGAAACACCCACATATGGATGCTGTTTTTGGACACAGGATCTGGCATGCAAACTGGTCTCCATGGGCTTCAACACTCCACTGTGCAACTGGCTGCTGGACTTCCTCACCGACAGAACTCAGTTTGTCGGTGAGGAAGTCATTTCTTTGAACACTGACTCCCCTCAGGACTGTGTTTTGAGCCCCTAACCCCAGGGCAGCCAGTTTCTGACAGAAGTGAGGCTGCCATGCACCAGCACCACCAAGCCATCTGACCACCACCAGCTTTAAATTGTTTTAATAACATATTTTACACTTAATTGAAAAATTTATATAGACAAGCAAAATTCAGCTTCTCCACTGCAGTTTCACTGCTTCTGAAAAACACTTCTGAAGTGAGTTGAAGACAAGGGTGAATGATAGCCCAGAAGTGGATGATCAAGAGAAATTGAAGAGATGTTGTACCAGAAGACTGCAGTAATATTAGCAAATGTGTAAATAGAGTTATTGTTGCTCCAGTGATACATGAAACATGTATTTTACATCCAATGTGCATAAAACTAAGGTTGATTTTTTTATGAAAAGAAACCTACAGCAGAACAAATTATTCAGTCATATAAAACATAAAAGCTGCTGGACAGCAGCGGAAAGGAAAATAGGAACAATAAGAAGGCTCCTTTGTGCGCGTATCTACAACTAATGTGGAATCTATAAGTCTCCACTTGATGGCAGTGTTCAGTTTCAATCATCAAGACGCACAAGGCGGCGTTCCAACACCCATAGAGTTAAAACCTGTCTATCAGGTTTCTTTCTCCGTTTTGAATAAACAAGTCTGTTCTGACATGGTAGTAGTTTTCCACTTGGCAGAGATTGTTATCAAAGCCAGCTGTCACTTCCATGTTAACTTACATGTAGAAAATAACTGAGTGAAACTCTATGGCAAGCCGATTTTAACATAAATTCGGTTTTACCACTCTTATATTCCAGATATCTCAAATTGTTTTGTGACTAGACGTTTTAACAATTTAAGATATCTCTAATTATATTTTGACTAGACAAAATAACTATTTGAGATATCTCTAATTACATTCTGACTAGTCGAAATGACGTCAGATTTACCATTGACTTGTATGGATTATGGCAAGCCGTTTTAACATAAATTCGGTTTCGTCTGACTATCCGTAATTACATTCCAGATATCTAAAAATGCATTTTGACTATACAAAACTACATTTTGACTATCCGGAATGGTAATTTAAGATATCTGTATTTACATTTTGACTAGTAAGAATAATAATTAAAGGTATCTTAAATTATATTTTGACTAGTCAAAATTCCTTTCAAGATATCTCAAATGACGTCACATGATCTGTCATTTGACGGGACACATAACCGTAATTACGATTTAAGATATCTGAGTTAAGAATGACGTGGAAGCCCCTTTGTGGTGTCCAAACAGTTGCCTGCAGAATTTTACGTTTCCTGCACAAAATTGTCAGTAAATGCCATAAATTAGAAAGAGTTCGACAATGTTGGAAATGCGGAGATAGCAAAACTTCATAAACTATAAGACTGCTTCTGATATCTGCAAAGAACTTCATGTTTATTCATTTCCGACGAACCAAATGCACTTACAAACTGCTGGAAAAGCTAAACTTGCTATTGTCAAACCATTTTCAACATGAACCATTTTCAAACATCTTTTTTTGTTTTCTCTATTTTTCATTGTTTTATTAAACTTTCAAATTGCTACGTAAGACAGGGACGTTGTGACTAGACAGAATACTAATTCAAGATATCAATAATGTCATTCTGGTTAGTCGGAATGTCAATTTAAGATATCTTAAATAGAAAAGCTGTGTAATTCAAGATATCTATATTCAATTAGAGATATCTTAAAAGGAATTTTGACTAGTCAAAATTACAATTCAAGATATCTTTAATTTAATTTTGTCTAGTCATTATTTGAATTTAAGATATCTATAATTTAGTTTTCACTAGTCAAAATTACATTTCTCCTATCCAAAAATACATTTAAGATATCTTGAATTATGGAGTAATTCGAGATATCTTTAATTAGAATTATGACTAGTCAAAACTAAAATTGAGATATCTTGAATTTACTTTATGACTAGTCATAATTTAATTGTAGAGATCTCAAATTTTTATTTCAGATAGTCAGTAATTCATTTGAGATATCTTGAATTGAAGTCTCCATACAAGTCAATGGTAAATCTGACGTAATTTCGACTAGTCAGAATGTAATTAGAGATATCTCAAATAGTTATTTTGTCTAGTCAAAATATAATTGGAGATATCTTAAATCCTTAAAACGTCTAGTCATAAAACAATTTGAGATATCTGGAATGTAAGGGCGGTAAAACCGAATTTATGTTAAAATGGCTTGCCATATTATGGAGACTTCAATTCAAGATATCTAAAATGAATTACTGACTATCTGAAATGCACATTTCAGATATTGACAATTAAATTATGACTAGTCATAAAGTAAATTCAAGATATCTCGATTTTGGTTTTTGACTAGTCATAATTCTAATTAAGGATATCTCTAATGACTCCATAATTCAAGATATCTGAAATGTATTTTTGGATAGGAGGAATGTAGTTTTGACTAGTGAAAACTAAATTATAGATATCTTAAAAGCAAATAATGACTAGACAAAGCTAAATTAAAGATATCTTGAATTGTAATTTTGACTAGTCAAAATTCCTTTTAAGATATCTCTAAATGAATTCGAGATATCTTGAATTACACAGCTTTTCTATTTAAGATATCTTAAATTGACATTTCAACTAGTCAGAATGACATTACTGATATCTTGAATTAGTATTCTATCTAGTCAAAATGTCCCTGACTTGGGTAGCAATTTGAAAGTTTAATAAAACAATGAAAAATAGAGAAAACAAAAAAAAAAGTTTGAATATGCGCCACTTTCATGTTGAAAATGGTTTGATAATAACAATTTTAGCTTTTCAAAGCTGTTTTTAAGTGCATTCGGTTCGTCGGAAATGAATAAACAGGAAATTCTTTGCAGATTTCGGAAGCAGTCTTATAGTTTATGAAGTTTTGCTATCTCCGCATTTCCAACATTGTCGAACTCTTTCTAATTTATGGCATTTACTGACAATTTTGTGCAGGAAACGTAAAATTCTGCAGGCAACTGTTTGGACACCACAAAGGGGCTTCCACGTCATTCTTAATTCAGATATCTAAAATTGTAATTTTGACTAGTCATAATTGTGTTGAAGATATCTTAAATCGTAATTACGGATGTGTCTCCCATCAAATGACAGACCCAGTTACGTCATTTGAGATATCTTGAAAGGAATTTTGACTAGTCAAAATATAATTGAAGATGTCTTGAATTATTATTCTTACTAGTCAGAATGTAAATACAGATATCATAAATTACCATTCCGGATAGTCAAAATGTAGTTTTGTCTAGATATCTGGAATGTAATTTCGGATAGTCAGACGAAACCAAATTTATGTTAAAAGGCTTGCCATACTATTACCGGGATAAAGTTTGTTTTAGTCTGTGGCCCGTAAAGAATGCACCGAGCGAGCTGAATGCCCAACAACGTCTCACGCAGTGACAAAGCAAAATATCTATTTTTCTTGACAAAAAAGCATGTTTAGGGCAAATGAAAAAGAAAATATATACATTACTTGACAGAAACGCATGTGTAAGGAAAAGGAAAAACTAAATATATATTTATGCTTTTATTTCTTATCAAAATATATATTAATGCTTTTATTTATTCCTTTATTTATATATTTATGCTTTTATTTATTCCTTTATTTATATATTTATTATTTTATTTCTTATGTCAGTTTTGGTCCTCCAAAAATATATTTATGCTTTAATTTCTTATCAAAATATATGCTTATTATTTTATTTACACATTTATTCTTTTATTTATATATTTATTCTTTTTTTTTCTTATTATGTCAGTTTTGGTCCTCCATATCTACCGCAATAATTCTGTGAAATTAAACTAATTGTCTAATATTTTAAAAAATAATTTAATGCTCTCTGGCATCTCGCCTTGAGCTCTGAGTCAGAGGCTTTTCCTCTATCAAACAATATATTTTTTTTACCTCTTATTTAGTGGAAATATTGATGTTAATGAGACTTAATGATAACCTTTTTCAACCTTTGTAGCTTCACTGTTGAAAATTAGTAGCTAACATTCACAAATGACATTGAAATAAAATCCAGTCCAACATCTGGTTTGAGGTGATTCCTCTGGAACCTGTTGGAGGAAAA